CACACACATACTCACACACAAAGATACACACACAGACACACACACACTCGGATATATACACACACACACGCACAAAGATACACACACAGACACACACACACTCGGATATATATACACACACACTCACACACAAAGATATACACACAGACACACACACTCACTCTCAAAAATACATACACTCAGATATATACACACAGACACACGCACTCACACACAGAGACACACACCACACATACACAAACTTGCAAGTACATGCACACATGTGAAAGCCCTTGCACGCCAATTCCACGAGAGTTTAAGAACAGACCTCTTCCTGAACTGAAACTCTTCTCTGTGTAAAGGTGCATGTGACTGGTGCCATTCCTTCCTTTCACTTCTAGATAATGCGACAATAGAGTTTGAGCAAGGACGCCAAAGGGCAGACATGTGACACAGCGCTTTTTCCCTTAATCAAATTATTTGAGCAGAAAGAACGGATGAGCCCAGCTCCACGCTCCAGCCCAGATGAGTGTTTGTCCTGTGCGCTCCAGAGCATAGCTTTTCACCTCTTTTTTTCTGTTTATTTGTGTAGTTAATTTTTCATACAATCTATTTTGATCATGTTTCTCTCCTCTCCCAGCTCCTCCCAGATCCTCCTCACCTCTCTACCCACCCAATTTTCTCTTTCAAAAAAAAAAAAAACCCTCAAACACCCTCCGATCCCTGCAAAACCACTGAACCAAAAATCAAAGCAACCAAAAAGGCCAATAAAAATATTTTTTAAATGTGGAAACAAAATCAAAATTACACCTTCCCCCCTCCAAAGTCCTTGGAGTTTATTTTGTGTTGGCCACCACTCCTGGGGAAGGGGTCTGCCATGGTGTCTGATTGATATGAGCAGTAAGACTCCCCTGGAGGAAGCTGATTTCCCTTTACCAGTGGGTGTCAATTCTCCTCTTGGTGACCCCACATCAGTTCTCCTCTCAGTGCTGGGACCCCTCTGACTTGAACCTCTGAGGTCTATGCGTGCCATCGTCTGTAAATTCATATGTACATCAGTCCTATTGAATCTAGAAATTTTTTTACCTCTTTGATTTTTTTGTTTACCCCCAAGTGTGGCCTGAAAATTGTTTTTTTAATTTTATTAGTACTTTGAAATTTTTGTACAATTAATTTTGACCATATTCAACCCCTACCCAACCTCTCACAGAACCAACCCCTCTTCCCTGCCTACCCGACCTTGTGACCTCTTAAAAACAAAACAGAAAGAAAAGAACACACAGAGGCCAATTTGTGTTGTCCTTATATTCTTGGATATGTGACCTTCCACTGGAGTGTGGTTGACCTACCAGTGCTAACTAACATTCATAAAGAAACGTGACTTACCTTCTTCCGGTTTAGTTGTCAATTGCCCTTAGCTCCTCGGCACAGGTGGAGTTTCAGGCTGGGCTTTGCTCTGGTCCATCACATAAAACAAAATTAATTTTTAAAAAGGAAAATACACGCAGCAGCTTGTTTATGTCATAAACTCGTTCTGTGATATACATCTACGCCTCCCACCCTTTGCAGACAGCATTAGTCGAGACAGTCAGATCTGATAGAACCCAGAACCTCACCCAGTGTAGCATTGGGATACTTTTCAAACTGTCACGAGCCCACGACTACTCTTGCTACCATTACCCTGTTGCTGATGTCATACAAAGCAGACTGAGAAAAGCTCATCCGCTTGCTTCTTTTAGATTATTGTTCAAGTATCATCTACTTGGTACCATTTTACCTCTCTAACTTTGTCTCAAAAACAAACACACCT